CTAGGCAGCCTGTTTGAAGCTATCAGCAATCCAGCTTGTGGTTGCCACTGCTAGGCCTGGATGTGTGCAGAAAGGCCTAAGCTGTGCACCAAGGCTGGCTTTATTAGCACCAATATAAGGCGATGGTCAGCAAATGTCCCAAAGCACCCTGAGATCCACCTCCACCTGCCTTTGCTTGCCAGCTGCCTGTTAGGCTCAGTCAAAGCAAGAGCCTCTAGCTGTACTCCTCAACAGACATAAGCTGCACATGATGGGACAAGAGGGAGTCCAGAGAGTGGGCTATTGCTTTCCCACAGGCTGATGCAGCACAAAGGGAGTGCTCCACCCAACAAAGATGGCACCTGTGATATGGGAGAATTATTCAGCACAGACATGGTGGCAGCTGACCCTTCAGCTCTCACCACAGAGCATGAATGCCAGACTTTCATGCAACTCGTTTGCTACATCCTCGGTCCACTGGAGCCCAGGGTGAGTGGCTGCAAACCATTAAGAGAGTGCCTATGTCTCTAGCAGACTCTTTTCTCTCCCTGGCAGACAGAAGCCCCACTGCTTTTCACAGCCAGATATTATGTGTGCCCCCTTTCCCATTTCTGGTGCTCTGGGCTGAGGAGCCTGGCTTGGGGTTTAGAGACCACCTTTCTCAGGGGGAACCCCCTACAGCTGTGATATCCCTCCGGAACCTCAGCTGCCACCCAGGGGAGCAGGCCAAACTTTTTTGTGTCTCTGCCCTTCTTACCAGTCTCCATGTGGTTTCTCATGTAAATCCTGTTATAAGGCTTCTCTTCAGCTAATCTTCAGTTGGTTATTTTGGATGATTGTTCTATAATTCAGTTCTAAGTCCAGTTTGGTCCTGGGAGGATGTGAATGTAGCTCCTGCCTACTCCCAGGGTTCTGAATAATTTATCTTCTTTTCATATTTGGATGGCTAGCCAGAATAATGTTACCTTATATTTGAAAAAGAATTTTTAAGCACTGTGCACAGTCCCTACCTTCAGGACTTACATTTTAGTTGGAAAAAAACACATGAAATAATTAGTAGGTAACAAATTAATATAAGTGACATGTATATAATAATGTGTATTTTGCCGGGAGGGCAGATGTTTAATAGAAATTAGGGTTGGGTTTCCAAGATGTCAACAGATATAGGAGAAATGGCGTTCCTGGCAAGGAAAATGAACTCACAGGTATGGTCACGAATGAGATTTGTAATGGATAATAGTGGCAATGGAAAAGTAAAGCTTCAGGGAATGAAGAAGGAAAGGAAGATTACGTAAGACCTTGAAAACCAGCTAGAAGAGATTAGATATGATGCTGTAGGCAGTAAGGAGCTTTAGAGGTCTGGAGCAAAGGATTATCATAAAGAAACCAGAGATAGAGGCTTGTTTCACTGTACCATGCAGTGATTGCAGGGAAATAGAATCAGGGAGACACCTACCATTTCTCTACAGCAGAATGTCTAACTCTGCATATCAGGAGTCCTCTGGTCTGATTTTCATTGCAGCTATGGCATTCTACTGAAGTCTGAAATAGAGGTCAAGTTAATTAATTTGTCCAAGTGATCATTTAGTCCCAACTACAAACACCCCATCCATGCCTTAGAAGTAAAAAGTTCTACTACAACCAAATAATTCAGATGCTTCCAAGTTTTAAAAAAATATATACAGATTGAATCACACCATATACTATTCTAAGAAGTGAGCATGAATCAGGTGCCAAGTGGATGAGAAAATACTATGTACAAATACACTAAAGCACCAACCACTCCAGTGGGAGCACCTGAGAATGTTCCTGACATTAAAAGACTAGGGCTAAATCTGAATCTATTTTCAGACAGTTAATGATATCAAATAAAAGGAAAATATGACCTTTTCAAATAGTGTCCTAAGGCACTGGGGCAACAGGTTACGTTATCCCTTTGTACAGTCTATTAGGAGAACTCTCTCACTTAAGCATTCCAACATAAGTCATTTAACAAGTCTGTTTTAGGTGGCTCCATAAGACAGAGGACATGTCTCTTATCCTGGGCAGAGCAGCAAGTCCAAATGGCGGTAGGATTAAGATTCTGTACTAGAGGCCTCTCTAACCTTAAACAGAACAAGCTTATAATATATAAACGAATGCTGTTCACACTGGAGTTATAAAAGCCCTTGTGAAAATACACATCTGCTGACAATTTTCAAGCTGTTTATTGTAAATCACAGGTTTATTTTTTAAAAAACAAATTATTTTGACATGAGCAAAATTCAAATAATATAATTATTTAACATTTTGGTATAAAATTAATAATATGAAAAAAAAAGATGCAAACCAACCAAGAGGTAAAAAGTTTTTAACAGTAACACTGTGTATAACTATCTTCTACTCAAGTGACCATCCAGGCTGATAGTTCATTTTCCTTTTGTTTGTGATTTTTAAGACAGCCTTGCATTGGAGCACCAAAGTTTTATCTTCCTTTTTAAAAGGCTGGAATCCTTTCACTGTATTTACAAATATTCTTCTCAGTACTTTAAGTCTGATGAAGGAAGCATCTAGCAATATCCTTCTTATTAAAAAAGGAAGTGCCTTCATATTTCCTTTAAATAAAAAGTATTCTATTCTAAGCAAAAATAAAAAAAATGAACACATTTGAGGAGCGCTCTCTCACAAATAAATAATTGTTTCACAAAAGTACTGCTGTAAACAAGATCATTTTGATGGCCAGAGATACTGATATTTTCATCTATTGAAAAATTTAAAGTTACAAGTATAGATACATAGCATATGTATGGCCAAAAGGCAAATGGTTATGAAAGAAATCAACTAATAAAAATTAATTATAAATCTGCTTTGTCAAAATGTGCTTTTATTCTCTACAGTTTTTAAAGTTTGTCAGAAAATTTAAACTGTAGTGATTAAAACAACCTGAACCTACTCTAAAGTAACTACAAACTAGAATGGTTGACAGTGTAGTTTTGACATTAGTTAAAAATTCTGAATTATCCGAGCAATCAATATAAACAAGCCTCAATTTTTGAAATAGAAAAATTTTTTTAATTCTGTAAACATTAAAGAGCTACCTGCAAAAAATTATATATGCCATAATCTAGTTGTGTTTACTGAGAATTCTTTTTTTAGTTGTTTTGTTTTCCATGTTTCAAACATCATCTAATTAAATGAGAGAAACATCTTAGTTTTCCCTAATAGGCACCTCTGCACACAAAGTTTCTATAATCAGTACTATGGCTTTTGCAGAAGTTGTTATTTTGGCCTTCGTATAATCCTCGTAGTGACAGATATTGCCTAGTTTTTTCTGTACGGTGAGAGAAGGTTATTTGCATAATGGTTACATTTCTACCCAGTCATGTAAAAATAAATGAAACTTACTCTATTAGATGTCAGCCACATCTCTTTGATTAAAAGGAACACACAGCTTTACAAATGCTTTAAACCTCATCCTGGCAACTTTTCCATCTTTCATTACAATTTCAAGTTTGAAATATTTAAAAGCTGAGAATACTTCTGATAGTTATTTTGATGAAAGAATAGATTTTCTTTTAAGATACTATAGCTTTGATGTGATGTTTAACACCCTCAATTTTAGAATCTGAACTTTGAATAAAGAACAGTGGTTTATGAGACCTTGTTGGGGAGGAATGAGCTAACTTTAGTAATCACTGCGATACTTTAGACACTAGGAATTTTATTTTATAAATTATGGAGAAAAGAGGCTTTTAATGTTCTACCTTTCTTTTTTGAAGTCTTCTCCATTATTATATTCCTCTATACAAACTACATTCAAATAACTACCTTAAAACAAACCTATATTGAATATTTAAAAACCAGTTGAAAAAGTCATTGAATTAAAATCAGCTTATTTGAATTAACAATGATTTCTCCCTACAGAAGGACCCTATGGGTAAAAAGCTGCCCATGTTTTGTGTCATTTTCTAATGATTAAAAAACAAAAGTATAAAGTACCAATTAGGGCAGAGCTAATGACTTCTCCAATTTTACATTAAACTTTGAAAAAAGAGACATAAATATGTTTTAAATGGCTCCCACACTATCTAGGTAAAATAGCTACATGGACGTAACAATAAATGACTTGGCTGTTTATAAAGAAACTGTACAGTAAGTTCTCACTTAACATTGTCAATAAGTTGTTGGAACTGCCACAAAACAATGTATAATGAAACAATTTTACAGTAGGCTAATTGATATAAACAAGAGTTAAGATCCAACAGTATCTTATCAACATTATAACAAAATGATGCTTAACAAAAACCAGGTTATTCAAGGACCTGCTGTGCATTTTCATAAATATTCTCCGAAGAACATGAGACTTTCTTTTACCAGATTCATGTACTTTCTCCTATGCCAATCTTCTCCTGCCCCCACCATCTCCACCAAGTGCTCTTCAATAAAAATTAACTTCTATGCCTAGTTTAACAATATATTCCTTTCTTTGAAATGTTATCCTGTACATTCAGTATTTTCCAAATGCAGTTCTTCTAACACCAAGGTTCCTTAACAACTTCTCTATACCTCACATATACATGTGGCATTGGGAATCTGAATTTTCCTTTAGTTTTGTTTTCATTAACCTTTTCTAAATATTGATTCCTTGAGCCCTGGCCGGGTGGCTCAGTTGGTTGGAGCATCAGCCCGTACACCAAAAGGATTGCGGGCTTGATTCCCAGTCAGGGCACATACCTAGGTTGTGGGTTCTATCCCGTCAGGACATGTACAGGAGGCAACCAATCGATGTTTCTCTCTCACATCGATGTTTCTTTCTCTCTCTCTAAAAATCAATTTTAAAAAAACACGTATTCTCAGGTGAGGATTTAAGAAAAAAAGATTTTAAATATAAATTCCTTGAAATGAATTTAGGCCGCCATGAAGTAGATTGTTATAATGAATAGCTTCTAGCATCAAAGAAACATTCTGAGAGACTGGGCTTTCAAAATATTTCTTTGTTTTTTTCATATACATATTTCACTTAGGATATAGGGAAACATTGAAAGGTTTTTCATTCAGGTTTGGCTCAGTGACAGTGAAAACATACAACATTCAAGTACTATTAGGCAAAAGCAGCCCTACAAGGATATGTGTCCACATAGGTTAATCTACAAAGGAGAGCTATTTTAATTATCCTGCAGTATATCTGGCCAAAAAAACCTTTTGAAATTGTTTTTACTTTAGGGTCTGTGGCATCCTCCCAAAGGTCCTGAAGATCTTGTACATGTCCATGAGATGTCATCATTTTATTGTAAATGCAGGGATGATAAGGAGTTTTACCTTCCCCAGAGAAAAACACATGGTATTGTGGTACTATCCCCATTTTATTGGCACAGAGGCCCATGAACACATCATCTATGTAAAGACTAGAATTAAGTGTCTGTGAGGCCTCATAGACTTTGGCAGCTACATCATTAGAGATCACGTAGGCAGCTCCAGCAGTATAGTCAGGGTAAGCTGGCCACTGGTACATTTCATAGGAGACATAGTATTTGCTGCGTTTGTCTCTAACAGGAGGTGCCCCACGATGAACACGACCAATCCAAAAGTCTTGAACACCAATTTGTTCTAAACTTTGGAGGTATTCAATAAGATTTGGCATGTGAATAAATATGTCATCATCAGCAGTCATAAGGAATTTGGCATGTGGACAAAAGGTATTTGCCCAACTGAACTGCATAAGTAATTTCAGAGTAAGATTATAGAAAGAATCGGCAAAGTCTTGCTGAATTATATCATTGTACACTTGGTCTTCCTGAAACAGTTTCTTTTGTAGGTCCTCTCTTGTCAGTGGATTAGAAGGTACTCCTAAGGCAAACAGAGTTTTGATGGTGGCATTAAGTTGAGACTGAACATACTTCTCATTGCCCCACGTTTTCCTAATTGCAGAACGTCGATTGTAGTTTTCAGGAGCAGTCTTTACAAACAATAAGAGGAGGACGCCTTGTGATTGACACTTCTCCTTGTGGTTAATCAAGTATTTGTAACGAGTAGCTCCTTCCTCGCTGTGCTTAAGAGACAGGCTCTCATTCACAAAGTTATAGCTATTTATGAGGTATCTGTATGAGTAGGATTTCATGTGGCTCACAATGTGATTATCAAATGGTCCCCAAAAAACCATGAGGCTCAGTATAAAACAAGTGGCACATAAGTGGACAAACTGCCATTTTTTCACTCTTCTGCCACTAACAAACATTCTGATGTCCATTTTTATTTAGAATCAGTGTTAAACAGGCATTTGCTTCTTTGAGACCATAGAACTTTACATTCTATAGAACAGATGTCCATCTTAAGACAGGTTCATCATTAAAAATATAAAAGGAGCTTCTTATTTCACAAAATACTTTCTTTTGATACCATTTTTGCTGAGATTGCAAAAGAACTGAACACACTGTAGAATGAGGACGCTGGCACATTCGAATGTCCCCACACTGGCATCCTTCATTGAGCCCGGTGACTGGCTGTGCAGGTATTACAAGTACTTCCTTATGTGAAAGTTAAGTGTAACCTGTGGGAGTTAGGATGAGAAAAGATGGTACATGAATGGGGTTAATGGGTCATGAACAAGAAATAAACTACTCTTAATGCCTTATAAACTAAATATAACTGGACTGACCTGGACAAAAGGTGATGAGGAAGCTAGCACTTAGAGAGGCATTCAGCTGTCTATACTTTAGAGGAGTGGAGAGAAAGGGAAAAAAGAACTCTCTACTGTTTTCCCATTCAGGATACAAAGACCTTTTTCTCTCCTCAGTCCTAAAAAAAAAAGAAAGAAAGAAAGAAAGAAAGAAAGAAAGCCCTCCAAATGGCTATCATCTTATACACTTATAGTTCAAATCTTTCAAATGGGTATATCCATGTCTATATTGATTTGAAATACAGTCAGGATGAAAATAGCTATACAGTTCAAGGCAAAACAGATTAATGATGAAAAGTTCATCCTAGTAAAAATCCAATAAAGCTTGCCTCAGGCAAGGAAGGAATCAGAGTAAGGTTTTCATTTTAAAATCAAGGTTCATAATCAAGGAGTTCAGAGGTGCTTCTCAAATGCATAGTCCACACTCTCTCTAACCCAAATGACTTTGTGAGCTCCAAATCTATTCAGTCATGTTCTTTCTTTACTTTTTTCATTTGGAAATTCAATAGGCACTTCAAACTTAACATATCCAAAACTTGGAAGCTGTAGAACCATAGCCAAAACTTGCCATCTTTGTAGTCTAGAAATTTGAATACCAGTGTGTGCTCAGCCACCTACTATTTGTTGCACTGTATCATGCATCTAACCAGAAACCTGAAAAATTGGAATAAAACTGCTTAACTCAGTCTTTATGTAAATTAAATGGGAATATACATAGATATATAGAGGTAGAGAGAGAATTTACCTGACAGGTACACCGCTGCCATTTCTAACCCATTCTACTGTCCTCTCCCCTAAAACCCGCCAAATCCATTTTCTCCTTATTGGTGTCTGCTTGGACTTCATGCATCTATGTCAGAAACCTGAAAGTCTTCCTTTTCCTCCATTCTATATCCAGTTATTTAATCCTGTGAATTGCTTCTTCTAAATCTCTCTTCACGCCTCATGTCATCCTCACTTCTCATCCCGACCAGGGCAGTAGGCTAAATGACTCCCGGCCAAGCCCTTCTCTACTCTCCAGTCAGAGCACCCTTTCTAAAACTCAAATCTAACCATGAGACTAACTGAGCTCTTCAAACCCCTTCAGATGCCCTCCACGAGTTGACGATACCAAATTACTGGCTGAAAGCTCAGCTACACTTGCTATTTCATACATGCTAGCATTTGTACCAGCAGTCCTGTGGCCTCCTCCCCTTCCTAATAAGAAGGCCACTAATCCTGAATAAGATCTATGTCTGTCTCTGCGAAGTCTGAATTGGGGCCATCCATTGTCAAAGATGTTTCTTACCTGTATTACCAGTACCTTCTTATACTTATATTCCTGTACTGAGACTTTTATTTAATTGCTGCCCCCCCCCTCCCCGCCATTATTCCATGAACTCCTTGATGCAAGACATGATGTTGTAGAGAGCCTACCATCAGCACCCAAGTTAGCCCCTGGCACACAGTAGGCATTCTCTGGATGTCAGTGGAAAAAACCATGCTTAGGGTGGAGCCACCTTTCAATCAAACAGTTAGTCACTTGGGAAGAACTACAAATCAGGATGCCCAGCCAATCACATCCTCCTCCTTCCACAACTAGTAGATAGCACCTTCTGCCCTGAAGGACTCTGTCCCCAGTGCTTACCACCACTAAGCCACATCCTTTAGCCTGCGGAAATAGGCTACCCCCTCAGGATTGACACATCAGACTCCTGGGCTTTCAACAGATTGACATAGAGAGGACAGAGCAAGCTCCACAGGGTCATGGCTGGCTGAGTAGCTGAGCCCACATCCCAGCCTCAGGACAGAGGCCCACCTTGTCCTCAAGTCACCTATCCTTTGCACCTGATAAGAAACCAAGTGCACACACTCACTGAGAGTGCTCTGCAGTATCCTCCTAACCTTGACAGTGGGGCTTCCTTCAGACTCTAAGCCTTTTGCCTCCAGCCGTATTTCCCATGCCCCAAGATCGCTGCATGTTAGAGTGACTGCTGCAAAGGCAAGGCATACAGAACTTTGAGGACCAGAGATGAAAGCCAAGCCCCAGGGAGGCTCCTTCCAGAGATAATCAGCACTGGAACATCTTATCCCCCGGGGCACAGATTTTAAAACCACTGGTTCCAGTTAGGAAGTCACAACCAACATTAAAAAAGAAAAATGAAGAAGAGAATAGAGCCTGGCAGAGTGTACTGAAAAAAGGTACCTTCCAGGTTTAATGTCAAATGTATTTTTATTGTGTTTCACCATCAAAAAGGTGGGAAATACTGCTGTAAGGGATAGATCAATTATCAGTCATTTCTGCCTTGGTCTGGCAGGTGATGGATGGAATGCTCTAAGTAGGGAGAGAAAGACAACAGGAAACATCAGTTTCTAAGGCTGGCATCTGCCTACACCTTGCAAAATCATTTTCATTGGTTGGGGGTGTGGGGAGACTTCCTCTCAGTCTTAACAGTGCTCACTTAAGTAAGGGCCCAACTGAAGGCAGAAATCCCCTTCTGCCTCCCCCACCAGACATATTGAAGGATCTGGACACTTAACACAAAGTAACAGAGAATTCTTAACAGCAGATTTTTAAGACAGCATGTCTTTAAGAATTCTGAGAAAATTCTCAGTTGAAACTAACCTGAAGTTTCTATTCCAACAGACCCTGGAAAGGAAACAAAGAGGACAGTAACCTTTGGAACCATAGACAAAAATAGCTTTCAATTTCTGAGCCGCTGTGCTTGGCACCCATTCACAGTTTTTTACAAGTCTGACCTTCTTGTGCGACAACCAGCCCACAAGCCTAACTCCTCAGCTCCCACACGTTCACTAGACTCACAGAGGCCCTAGTATCTTTCCAATGAACGGGGTTTATCACTCATCCAGTTGGGGTGTTGCAGCTGCTAACATTACTACAACCTAGCAGCCAGCCCATAACACCTATTTTATCCCCCTCATTGCCCCACCACATATGTATATATTTACATTATTTTTACATTATTTTCCTGTATTTCCTCAGCTGTTCCCAATTGACCTCAAGGAGTCAGAACAGTTTTCTGAAAAATGGCAAAGAACCTAACACGAAGCCAACAACCCATGCTAGGTATTTTGGTTTGGTACAGCATGTAAAGCTCTAAAAAAAAGATTTCTTCACCTACAGTAGCTTGAACTGCATACCCACCATTTACAGAACTAAATTCCAGGGATAGTACTGATCAGATGAATGAAGATTTGGAAAAGGTAAACTACTCTTTCACAGTACCCAGCTTCTCTTTTGTAACAAAAGAATGCCTGAACAACTCCAAATGGAACATACTTAACTAGGCGGCCTTTTCCAACCAAAGGCAAAAGCATCTCTGTAATGTAAATTCATTAATTAAAACTAAACAATGTTGCCCTCAACTCTGTCTTTGCTAATGGAGACCAAGCACATGCAACTGACGCCCACTTTTCTGATTTGCAGTCTTACAGCTTCTCAAAGCACATTTTCTAGCTTCCATATTCAAACTGCTGGGGAGGGGACTGGGCTGAAGTCCACAGAGCTGCCCGACCTGGAGAAAGGAAATGCTGGGCCTCACAGGAAACAAAGCCACCCCAACAAGCTCGCAAAGCTCAGCATGTCCACAACAGAATGCTGTGGACGCAGCTTCCTTTGTGGGCCTGCAGCTCCGATCCATGACCAATCAAGAGGCTGGAAACGCAGGGGCTACCCCCTTGGGGGCCGGATTTATTGTGCAACCCCAAGCACCCCTCACTGCACTCTGACTTGGTGACTTCACCTGCAACCGGAGTGAATTTCAGGGTCTTGTTAATGAGGGGATATAGAAATTACAGATGCCTCAGAGCCTGCTGAAGTAGGAAACGGGAAAGACTGTAGGAGAGGAAAGGACAAAGAACTGCTTAAAGGAAAATATGCAAATATTTGGACTATGACTTGGGTTTGTTTCTAGGGGGACTGAGAAGGAACAGACATCCTTAATATTCTCTTTCCTCGTAGACAGTGGTCAGAAGAAGGAAGAACAGAAGTAGGAACATCAGAAAAGATGGGCGCTGTGTGCCCCTCAGTTACTCAGTGACATTTCTTCCTAAGAGAGCTCTTTGCACTTCTCTGGAAAAATGAGTTAGCGCCCACGGAGGCCACAAGTTTCCCTAATGGCCCCTGACTCTCTGGTATTTCACCCATGCCGTCCACTCATGTCTTTGCCAAGTCCACATATGTGATCCTAAAACATCATGCAAACCTGCTCTAAATTGTGAAGTTTTAGTCCAGATGGTGCAGTGTAAGTTCAAGTTAAACCACCTCAGGGCCCCATGTTTCAATGACCCCTGCAAGTGTCTGAGTGTGCGCTGTGGCCATGGTTGCCCCGGGCGCGGTGGGGGCCGTCAAGTAGCATCTCAGAGTCTCCAGTGGGAAACATCCACCGTCTGGTTGAGAAGAGACTCATGGTGCCCCCGTGAAAACACCGTTCCCACGGATGACCCAGAAGGCGCAGACTGTGTCAGCGCTAATTTGGGCAGTAGCAGCTCCAGGCACAGTACCAGTGTCCCTGGGAGGAGGGAGCAGGGACAGCTGGACGAGGAGGGCCTGAGGAGGAGCAGGATCTGGGCGGCTGCAGGAAGGGCGGCAGTCTGTTCGAGGCCGGAAAGGGCAGAGTGGCAGCAGGGGTGACGCCAGAGGCACAGGCAGGTGTTTGAAAGCAGGGAGGCCGGGGCCTGCTCACGGAGACCCTGGCGATAAGGCTAAGGCAGAGGAGCCAGCGGGCACCGGGGCAGCAGGGAGTCACAGAGGTTCGTGTCTCTGTTTTTGATGATAACCCTCTTCTCAATGCGAACTAAGCTTTGTGCAGAAGGGAGTGCGTGCAGGGTGGGCGCAGATGGCTGGGGATCAGGACGCCGGTTCTATCAGGGCCTTGTGTGGGGCAGGTGAGGTGAGGGGGGCTTGGTGCAGAGTGGAAGTGGGGAGGGAAGGAAGGAACAGAGAGGACCCTCTGAAGAAAAACAAAAACCCAGCAGTACTTGCTCAGCGATCTGGAATGGGGGTTGAGGAGGAGGAATGGGATCCAATTTGAAGCACTGCTGACAGAGTGGGGAACACTGGTTTCCGGAGTTAAAGTGAGGGAGGAATATGTTTGGTTTTAGACTTGTGTTGGGTATAGGTGCTGGAGACACAAGGGTAGAGAAGTACAGCCGGTTATGAGATGGAGGCAGACGGGGCTGCAGATGCAGTGGGTGCTCTGAGCATAAGGAAGACACTCAGAAGTTTAAGGAAGCCATATTTCATGACATTATGTACCATTGTGTTCCCATTTCCTTTCCACTGTACACAAGACAACTTATCATCAAGAAAGTCCTTTGTCCAAGTGAAGAAAGGCTTCACTTAGAGCTCCATTTCCTCTGAATTCTAGTACACACTCTCCGGGACACTCCTTCTCCAACCACATCCTCTTTATATTCGTTTAGAACCTCTGCCCACCCCGGCCTGCCCCCTAACCCCCTCACCCCACCCCAGCAACCTGACCTTTCTTCGTACCCACTTCCTGTCTCAGATGAAGAATCATCGGCACCTTTGCCCTCCTCTCCTTGGTTCCTGTCCTTCCATCCAACAACCCCAGATCTCAGGTGACTCCCTACTTCTCTGCTCCTACAACACCTGCCAGGCTGTCGGAGAAGCGTGCGACCCACCGGGCAGGCACCCTCACCGCAAATGGCAGTATCTAGCCGTGGGCAGAGCACACGCTGTGCGACTGTCCTTCACTTGTCCTGGACCTTCTTCCTCTCCCAGCCTCTCCACCAGCCATGCTAGGTCTTCCCCCTCCCAAGGCCTGTCCTCCTCATTCTCAGCTGATGCGTTTACCTCCTGCCTCATAGGGAAAGGAGAAGACATCGCACATGGTCAGCTTCTCATCCCGACGAGTGTCACAGACACCCCAGGCCCACCCACCCCCTCCATTCCCCCTCGAAGGCGCCGAAGGTCAGGGCCAAGGCTGCGGAGAGGCACATGAGGCGCTCACTTGGGGCACTACATTGAAAAGTGATAAAAGTATGATCGTAAACTAATGATGCTCCTCTAAGTTACAATTAAAACAAAAAAAAGACTCAGTACTTCATACCTGTTACATTTAAAATTTTACGACAAAGTCCCAGGTGAAACACAATTTTTGTTTCATGTGTGGGCCTGACATTTTCTGTCCCATCTTTATCTTACATTTTGCTCTACATTCCAAAAATTTTTACCTGGCTTGTCTGATCTTCTATTTCTTGTTAAACATAGCTAGGGCCAACCCTCAGGAATCAAATTGCTGTGTTAAAAGGAATTAGGAATAAAAAGCCCTAAACTTACTGAAAAGGCTGTAATTTTCATAGATTTTCATAGATTTTCTTAGTAAATGAGTTGTGGTAATTGGTGCTGAGAAACACAACTCGTTTCTGTTTAGTACTATTTGTCTATTTTATTTGCTCAAGGAGGAAGGAAGCAATCTGAAATTTGAATCCACAAGTCACAAATCTTCTCAAATTTACTGTATTCTTTTTTTAAAAAGATTTTATTTATTTTATTTGTAGAAAGAGGGGAAGGGAAGGAGAAAGAGAGGGAAAGAAACACTGATGTGAGAGAAAAACATCTATTGGTTGTCCCTTGTACGTGCCCCAACGGGGGACCGAACCTGCAATCCAGACATGTGCCCTGACCAGGAAGCAACCAGCGGCCTTTCAGTTTGTGGGATGACACCCAATGGGCCACAACTGTCTGGGCAATTTTATTTTATTCTTTAATCAAATGGAGTGTTTTCAATATGAGGCATGTAAAGAAAGAAAAATCCTATACAACAGCTATCTTTTAGATGTTTTGTGGCTGTGACTAGCCATGAAATTTTAGCTTAAGCCATGGGCAAAGATCGAAAGTCATTTGGAGTTGTCATCCCCCCACAAAGAATACATTTAAAGAGTTAGTTCTTGATTCAGTGTTAGTCTAAATACTTTATATTCCAACAGAGCAAGCACAGATGGGGGATGAAAGAAAAGCTGGGTTATAAAAGCTAACAATGTAAATCCTGTAACAGGCACCTCACCCATATTGAATAAATTAAGATATATGTGTCTAACAAAGTTTAACAAAGGGATCAATTTTTGTTTGCTGGTTATGGAAAAAATAAAGACAGGGAAATACCAAATGAACAAACAAATAAAGACAGGCCCTAAGTAAGGACAGGTGCTAAGGAAACTGGAGACACAGGACTACAGAGTATGTGGTTATTATATTTCAGGAGTTAAATTAAAAGTCATTAAAAATTTCCAGTAACAAGGTTGAGTATATAGAATTTGAAACAAACAAAAAGGCTGAAGTATAAAGCAGGCCTCGTAAAGGTCAAACATTTGCGTGTTAAGCTTGGCCCTCCGTATTCGTTCTTAAGCACAGGTGTTTGGGTTGCCAGTGCTGCTTTCCTTTTAAATACAATTCTTGTCCGTTTTGTTCTTGCCCACTTAAGAAGCAAACTTCTTTTGTCCACTCTAGTAACAGTCGCTGACATGGTTGTGCTTACTGAACAGCACAGGCCTTACATATGCAGTCACTCTCTGTGTCTCACAGCAACCTCTGAGAAATGGTCGCTCCATTTTGCAGAAGCAGACACTTAGGTACAGAGACATGGGGTTCACCACATAACCCACATAACTTCCAGCTTAGGTGCAGGTCCCGTCCCTGAGCTCCTCAGCTGCCCGTCCTTTCCGGCGCTGGCACAGCGGCCCCCCTGGAGCTCCCATCAGGGTGGAGGGCAGGGTGCAGGTGGGGCAAGAGAGGCGGTCCAGGGAGGCAAAGAATTTGCTTCACTGTCTGAAGTTTGGAGTCACTTGTGTTTTGCTACCCGCCACCTGCATTTTGTCAGAGCTTGTTCTCATTTTCTTTGTAACATACCGTTTCCTAACCCTCCAGCTCAATTTTCCCTGCTTCCTTTTATTGATCCCAGTAGCACTGGACAATGGGCAAAAGTGGCCTTGTGAGTCTGTGTCCTTTGGGTGCATAAAGTCTTTCCTCCACAAAGAAGATAGAGGATTTAAGGGAGAAGAGCCAAAGTGGCAAAGGGGATTTAAAAAAAAAAAAAAGAGGTGAGAAGGAGGAACAAGAATAGAGAAAAAAGTATAGAGCTCACAGCACATATTTTAAGCAAGTATTTGATGAATAAGTAACGGATGAAATGAAAGGAGAAGAGTCATACAGAGAGGAGGTCAAATTGTGATATGTGAAATAGTGATTTAGAAATCAGTTGACAATCTAACCCTTTATAAACCTATTATATAAGCTATACATATAAGCCTGTCATCTAATGGCAGTTCATATGTCCTCTTCTGAACATTATATTTGGAAACAACATTTAATTGAGGGTTCACTAGTACAAACAGTAAATAATGATGAAAAACATTAGGTATATATATTTCTGTCTCACTTAATTAACATTTATTATAATAAGTTAACTACCATTTATTAAGCACCTACCCTGCTCCAAGCATTATGCTGGAAAGCCCTGAAAATACGTAATGCATACGTTTAATTAATTCAACAAATATTAATTTCTCACGTACTGTGCGGCAGGCCACAGTGGGATGCTGGGAAGGCTTCGGTGACGTTTCCAGTGCAGATCTCTTACCAGAGTAAACGATCCAGTACAACCTGGAACCAACCTGATGGAGGCAAGAGTAAAACAACCAAGATTTTTAGAACGTGAACAAGAGTAGATTTATATTCTGGTACTTCCATTTACTGGTCTCATGAATTTGACTTGTCTCTAAAACACATACCACAGTGTTTTCTAAGGATCATCTGAGATGATTTATTGACAAACTATGGTGCAGATCAAGCAATCTATGTACGCTAACTTCCTCTCTAGAAACTGTTCCTGCATCTTTCTACCATGATGGTTTAAATAGCAGATGGCCAGTAGTCTTCAGGGATTATTTTCCTCTCAAAATGATGACGTATACTCTTAATATTCTTCTCAAACTGTTCATTAGATACGAGTTTTTTAAAATACTGATCTGATTGCTAAGGGCCACTCACCACTTCCCAAACACATATTACTACTAAATGACTGAACATGGTCTTCTATTGGCCTTCACAGGAAAGAACAATATCATTCCCACAAGCACTTAAAAACACATTTCAGTAATGATGACAAAACCAAAGGTTACGAGACCCTGTAAATTATGGAGAAAACCTGAGTTCAGTCAACGTTTTAACCTAACTGTCAGAAAGATGTAGAAAGGCCTGGAAGAAAGGAATAAAAGACAAAATATGAAATCTTGGTGGATCTTAAGTTGTGTAATAGTATTTTAACTTGGAAGCTTACTATCTGCAGACATGGTAGAACATTCCAAACTACAGATCAAAGTCAGCCTCTGAATTTCCAGCATTCAAATGTAAAAAAAAGAAAAAAAATCACTTGTGTTTATTCAAAGTGTGATCATCTCAGTAAATCAACTTTCTTTATCTTTAAACATAACGATTCTTATACCTCCTATATATATATATGCATACTGTGATAGTTTAGATTTACACTGTTCCAGCTAAATCTTTGCTAGCAGACATTCTATGTCAAATGGCAGAGCTCCTGGAATAATATGCTGTGCCTCAATTTATGGAACATGGATGCAACATACGCATCTCCTCACAAGATTTTTCTAACAACAGAATACAAGAATGGCAATACAATAATGGCAATATTTCTATGGAAATATTACCACCCAAAAAAGTATAAAGTGACATCAAATGCAAAGCTTAGATCTACTGAACTGAGCATATACAAAATCCCAAAAAGACAGGATACATTTTTTTACTTTGAGAAGAGACAGTTTCCTTCTGAATTTCTTCTAGTTTCTTTCTACCACCACCACATCCTGTTTTGTTATGTACAGACTTGTGTAGCTTATCGTCAGAAAGAACTGTACTTTTACAAATTTGAAGGTCACCAAGTGCAATGATTCTAGCCAAAGTGACCCATTTTAAAAGATGACCCATTTCAAAACCCATGAGTTATGATTCAAGCTGTTCTATATTTGAGAATTAGAAAGTTATTTTCTTTTCCTACAATCACATCATTTGAATCAGTCTTTTATAGAAGGGTAATTTGATCTCCACTGTAGTGAAATATAAAGTGACATTTTTATTTGCTATAGCCTACACTTTATTTTGAAAATTCACCTTTTGAGGATTGGGGGAGGGGAGCAAAGTAGTTACATGCAATACCATTTATGCCTCCTACTCATCCCTCATTTCTCATTTCCCCAAGAACAGTTCCTCTGGGCTACAGCGTTAACCTTCCCTCTCAGAACACTCCTCCCCTATTAACTTGTCAGGGTGGAGGACTCAGATGGGTTAGACTGAGTCGGCCTCATCCCCAGAAGGTGCTTAATAAACACTCAGGGAGACTGCCCCTGGGCAGGGGAAAGGAAGGGAGAGAGAAGGAGCAGGAGAGAGAAGGGTTCATTTTAAGTATATAAAGGAAATATTTCAGGAATTGAATGTATCTGGCTTTAAAATAAAGAGTTGACCCAAAAAAGAAGCACCCCCTCCCCTGTAACAAGATATAAAATCTACCATAAGTTTCTTTTGAGAAAGTTAAAACCTTTGCTGCTAATCACCAATCCCCCTTTCAGAAAGTTCAGGATGGGATCTTTTCAACGCCACTACTTAATACAACTACCTTCAACCGTCCTTTTCTGGGTCAGTTTCAGCTCCTCACATCCCTTTCCCTTCACCCATAGAGACCAGGCACAGAGTTTCCCAAAATAAAGGCACAGAGGAACAAATCCAATCCCAGTAGCTGTACTTTCATCAGAGAATTACCCTAAATAGGAGTTACAAGCCACCACCCGCCACTGTAGTTTCAGCATAGGTGTCCCTTTAACATGACCCATAACCTATGAAAACCGACACTGGGAAAGAAAAAATATATAGAGTGTGTAGTTAGCGTCGGTGCTACTTTCAACTATATAGTATCTGAGTAAGCAACTGACTGACTGTGTCACTTGGGGATGCAAAATAAAATTCGGCGGAGTCAAAAAATAAAAAGAATGGCAGAAAACTTCCCGCTAGGACGAGGGATCCTTTCCCTGTTCCCCTCACTTCCTCGTCTGCATTCCCCACCCAGTACCTCGCCGAAAGCTTCCCCAGTCTGGCGGCTCTTAATTTCCACCACGACGCAGGCTTTACACTCCAATCCATCCCTGCAGCCCGGGACAGCCCCAGCCAGGTTGGGGGCCCGCCGGAAACCGAGGCCTCCGGTCTCCCGCGCTCGGGCGAGTCTCGCTCGGCATAGCGCCGTGGCGGCCGCCTTGCTGGAGCTTCTTCGGGAAGAGAACCCGCCAGACCCTGGGAAACTTTACCCGCAGCGGAGCTCCGGCCCCCCAGCCACCCCCCAGCCTACCTGATGCACCCGAGGGGGGTCTCGGCCCGGGGGTCTCGGTCGTCGGCGTCCGCCCCCAAGCTAGAGCTAACAAAGGCGCTCCGGGAGGAAGCGCGCCCTCCTACTCCGCCGCGCTTTTTGCGGCCCTTTTGCGGCCCGCAGCAGGGCCCCACGGCGGGTAGGGCCGCCCCCGCCTCCCGGCCCCGAGCCGCGCTTCCCGGCCCCGAGCCGCGCTTCCCGGCCCCAGCGCGCTTCCAACCTGAAGTCCCAGAGCCCCGCCTGGCGAACGAGCGTGCCCTCACCTCGCGGAGACTCTCTTCCCCGCTCGGCCCTAACAGACCTCGCCTGCTGCAGAGCGGGCAGAAGACTCCGAGCTGCCTTTCCATAGTCCCGAGCTGCTCCAGCGAAGGAGGCGCGGCGGGGCGGCCGGCCGGGCAGGGGCGGGGCGGAGGCTGGGCGGCCGCAATAACCGGTCTCCGGTCCCCCCGCAAGGAACAACCCATCAGGAAAGTTTAGACTTTACCACACCAGCGTACGAGAGCTTCGCCCATTTAGTGATCCGGAAGGGAAGACTGCATTTCCACCCCGCGGGGAAGCTCGGGGGCTCGGCCCGATTAAGGATGAGGTCGGCTGTAGAGGAATTTTTTTAATCGTACGATCGCTCACATTAATTACATATGAAACAGCTGGTCTCAATACACTTTTCATTAGGGGAGAGAATAATCCATTCGTTAAGAACAAGCGACAGCTCCTCATCTAAAGGAGAGAAGTTTTGCGTTACGGCTCCCTCATCATTTTATTTTCCCTTTTAGAGTAAGAGCTGTAAGAGCAAGCTAGTTTTGATAACAACAGCTCTTGTCACACCACTTAAACAGTAAGCTTCTGGGGGCGAAAAGACAAAGGACGGAAACTAATTTACAGCAAACAAAAACTTCACTGCAGCGGTTAGTTTTAAAAACGCAAGGGAGCGTGGGGGGTGGGGGGGCGGTGGGAAGGAATCACCCCGGCCCCCAATGAGTTGACCTTCAAGCCCAGTTTAATTTCAAAGAGAGCTTACAGCAAAACTCACCAGTCCAAGCACAGCTCCTTAAACTCCCAAATCGGGGGTCGGCTCTCCTGACATAGGAGCAAAAGTCGATGGTCTCAAGACAAATCCTTGGCCACTTTATGCCGGTCTTGGTCGAGGACTGGGCAGTCAGCGCTGGATGGGCTCGCTCGCTTCCCCCGCGGGACAGGGCTGGAGTGGCAGAGGAGAGCGACCCAATCGGGAGCTCGGGCGGAGGGTGGGGGCGCGGCAGCCCGGAGCCTCTCCCAGAGCGCTGCGGGGCGCGCGTTCTTGGCCACCCAGCCTGGCCTGCTCCTCTGCCACCAACCTGGCAGTGTTGGTGATAATGGGCCCTACCCAATTCAGCTCCTTTGGGTGCATGATAACCCAGAAGGTGCTCCCCCACGCCTCTTTAGTTAATTGAGATATACTCAGATGATCAACTGTGAACCAGAATCCACAGGGATGTCTTCTTTGAGCTGTTTTCCCTGCCCTACGTACTTAGCACACATCACTAGACAAAATCAAGAGAATGTAAATTCCTTCTGAAGGAAAGAGTAACTAAATCCTTTGTGGGTTTGGTGTCCTAGTCCCCAAATGTTGTTTTAGCCTTCTTATAGAACAAACATTATCATTTAACAGAGGTAATAATTTCAATGATTTTATAATTGTGTATATTTCAGAATGTAACAGAAAAAAGCTTTGGGGTTCTTATTGTAAAAGGAGACAGGCAGGTAATAGGTTAAAAGATTACTGAATCAGAATGTGAAATTACGATGATTACAATATTGTACTTGTTATTTCAAACTAGAGTCTCAGGATGTTTGTAACTGTATTCTTTAAGCCCTGATCCCTGGCGATGGACTCACACCCTATCAGGATGCCGTTCTAACCAACTGAGCTACCCGACCAGGGCTGAACCATGCAATTCTTTTCATATATTGAGAGAGAGAGAGAGAATGACTCAGTGCTGCTATTATCCATTCAGAGACTATAATGCCATATGCATGTCAGACCACTGACAGAAATATTCGTATGATGTAATTTGTAAGGGGGTCACTGACAGTGACCCATAAGAAAGCTAATTCATTGTTAGCGCGCTAGTCACCTCCCTTCTATACCAATGCAAAATAAAATCCTGATAGCAATCGCATGTGCATTCCCCCCAGCTATCATGGCTGTATGTTGTATTTATGTGGAAATATTTAATTA